ATATATTAGTGGATTAAAATTAATTAAATTTTTAAGATTATGAAAAGTTATCATCTATATTTTATCTCAGCATAGAGATAAATAGCAGAGCTACAGCTACCGGTGAGTGTAATGAACTTAATCATTCTCTGGAGATTGTTGCAAATTCCCTATGTGATAATTTGCATTTGTATTTCAAATTAGCTTGAAGAAAAAGGACAAAAATTATATGGAAAGGTGTTTTTTAATCAGGGTATAGAATCAGTAAAATTAAAAAAAAAATTATAAAAAAAAATATTTATCTATATATGAAATACTATTCTCACTGTTTTGAATGTGAAAATACAAAAACAAAATAAAAATAGATGTTGTGAACTTGCTTACATATAATTAACAGCTCTGAGGAAATCTACTGACTTTCCAATGCTGGGAACATAGTTTGGTTTCTCCAGGGGTGTAAATCTGCACAGCTCTATTAAATTTAACAGAATTCCTTTGGCTCTCAGTTGTTTTTGGCGGATGGCCAAATTCTGGCAGATTAACTTGATTGGAGTAGATGTTCCTACCTGTAAAATCTTTTATTTTTTAAAGGTACAGATAGCTTGAGGTTAGAATAAGATTAACATAGCTTCACGTAATTACGCTATCTATCTGCCACAGCTCATTTGTGTACCACAGCATTTTAATCAAATGCATGTGGCAAATGGGGTTCATTTAACTCTTCGAAATGCAGAAAGAACTAATGAAAAACTTATCACCTGTCACCTTTTGTTTAACAATGTCTAATGTCCCTTCTCATTACAGAGTATTCAAGTTAGCGATTCCCCTGGTTGAAAAGCACTGCTTATTTACTGAAAAGGAGCTAAGAGAAAGTATTTTTATATTTCAAGATTGGCTAATATTTACAGTTTCCTCTTGGGCAGTGAACTGGGCAATAAGGAAAAAATAAGGGACTGCATGCAGCTCTCACCCATGATAGTCACCGGATTGTGTCTTAGGGCTCCCAATTTAAACAGAGTAGGGGGAAATCCAAGTACTATTTGCCAAAACAGTTTTTAAAAACAATTTTTATTTTGTTCACAGCTGCAGAGACAACATCAGGTGTTGCTGAGGCCACTTTGGTATGCCTTTATTTGACCAAGGCTCATGTGCTCAGTCTCTTGATTTCCAATTCAGGAGGGTATTTCAGCTTGTGCTTGTCTTCATAGAACATAAATAGATGTCAGTTTAACTGTGTATATGAGCTGACTGTAATAAGGATCTTCAAGCAGTGTTTAGCTGTGCAGTGCTTTAAAGATGAGATATGGCAAATTAAAAGTAAAATAGGTGATCAGAGACTTATATATGTAAAATAGACAAGAGCATCATAATTCACAAGGTTTTTGACATTATTTCTCCTAAAATCCTCATAAAGAAATTGATGAACTGCATAATAGTGGGCAGGCAGGTAGGTGGAAAACTGGCTGAACTGCTGGGCTGGAAGGATTGTGATCAGTAGCACAAAGTCCAGCTGGAGGCCAGTGGTATACCGCAGGGGTCAATACAGGTTTGCAAATGATGCAAAACTGGGAATAGTGGTTGATACACCAGGTGGTTTTGCTGCCATTTAATGGATCGTGAGAGGCTAGAAATATGTGCTGACAGTAACCTCATAAAGATCATGAAAGGGAATTACCAAGTCCTGCCTCTGATGAGGAATAATCCCAGGTAGAGCAGAAAATGACCATGAGCCAGCAATGTGCCCTTGCAGTAAAGGCGGCCAACAGCCTCCTGGGATGTACTAGGCAGAGCATTGCCAGGAGGTCGAGGGAGGTGACTCTTCTCCTCTGCTCAGCACTGGTGAGATATAGCTGGATCTCTGTGTCCCCACTACAAAAGAGGCATTGACATATTGGAGCACAAAACCCATGAAGATGATTAAGGAACTGGAGCATATGAGGAGAGGCTGAGCGAGCTGGATCTGATGGAGGAGTGAAGAAAACAGAGCCAGACTCTTCTCAGTAGCACCCAGTGACAGCACAATACAAGCTGAAATGTGGGCTCCATCTGAACATAAGAAAAAAACACTTTTCCTATGAGGGTGGCACAGGTTGCCCAGAGAGGCCGTGGTGTCTCCATACTTGGAGACATTCAAAGCACAACTGGACACTGTCCTGGGCCACCTGCTCTTACAGATCCTGCTTGAGAAGGAGTACTGAAGTAGCCAGTCTCCAGAGATGCTTTTTAGTCTCAGTGCTATCGTACAATTCCTTGATTTCATGAAAAAGATTTAATATATAAGAAGTTATTTTCATCGCACTTCATTACACATGCTCAGTGGTCTGTTAATAATACTTAAAAGTTTACCCAGTTTCATGATTAAACTTCTGAAAAACTGTCTTTGAATATTTTCTTAAGCTTCTGGAATATATTCTCTAACAGTCTGGAAAAAGCCACATTGGAGGCTTAATTGTATTTATGGAGATGAGAGAGGTAAAATAAGTGTTCTGTGCAGTAAAAACCTAAATACAATTTTCAAAGTTAAAGTTACAGATCTGTAGAAAAGTCTTCAGTCAGAAGATGCCTCTAGAGTTCACCTGGTTCTTCCCTCTGGTGCAAGAGCCATAGATTAGGTTATCCAGGGACCTGTGAAGCTGAAGTAGCAAGAGAAATTGCACCATTTCTCTGGATACTAATTGTTCCATGGTGAAGAATATTTTTCATGTATCCAGATGAAATTTCCCCTGAAGCAACTTGTGCCCTTGGTCTGTTGTCCTGTCACCATGCATGGTGGTGAAGAGAGCACCTTCATCTTTTCTATTGCTGTATTTTAGGTATTGGAAAACGGGGATCTCCCCGAGCCTTCTCTTCTGTGGCTTACACAAACGCATTTCTTTTTTGGCCTCTCTTTGTGTGTCAGGTTCTCTAACCTCTCATTATCTTGGTGGCCCTTCACTGGACCAATCTTTCTCCTGAACTGGGGGAAATTCACTCCATATAGCCTAGATGATGGGTGTGTTTCTTATGGTAAGATTTAGCAGCACAATAAGGTATTTCCAGAACTCTCTAAGGCACTTTCATACCCAGTTATAGGCATCAAAATAGGCTTCCTAAAGTCTAAAGAGAAATAAATCTCTTTTTTATTGGACAGTTTTTCAAAGTAGTGCAGAAAGGAGTTAGTCACAAGGGCAATGTAAGGGAGAACAGGTTTGAACCTGTTCTTGCTGGACACAAGGGGTATTCTGCCATTAACTTTAATGGAAGGAGAGATTGACAGACAATTTTATAGAAGATGTGCTGAACTGGGACTGTGCACAGTTGGAGTAAGAAAATCACTCAACCTCCTGTGAAACACAGAGAGTGCTGGGACACCCCAAACTGGAAAATAAATTCTGCTAAAGGCTCTTACAGAAGCCCGTAGGGGAACAGATCTTTTTGCTGCCAGTATGCAACTTACTAGCTGAGAGGCTGCTTACCTACTTTTATGTGGACAATTAGGTTGATATTTTTGTTGGAAGATATTGAAACTAGCTGCAGCAAATACTGGCCTCGTTGTGTGAGGTTTTCCTGCATCCCTCCCTTGATGGCATTTTTTTGAAGGGTAAGACTTGCTGAAATAATTCTGACTCTTAAGTTTCTGTACCAAATTCTAATAGGAAAACTTGAAAGATGACTTTTTTAAAATCATTAAATATGAGTCTGTCCAGTAGTCGGTACTCATAACTAGAGTGCTCTTCCCCTTCAGGAAAATGGAGTGACTAGTGGGAGGCATTGTTTTCCCTGATTGAGGTTAGCCAAGATGTAGGGAATAATAAACTTTTGTCTGTGTCTGCTGGTTAAGTAAGGAACTGATCCTGAGCCCTGAGGCCAGTGATTTCCCAGTCCACAGGAGATTAGCTTGGAAACACTAATGGCAATGGTCCAGAACAGAGCCAAGAAGCGTCCTCACAAGTATGGTGAATGATTGAGTATTTGGTGCTTGAAATCACTACCTGGGCCTCTTTTATTTATAACAGATATTAGCTCCTTGAATTTAAGCCCTCTCCTCAGAATTCATATTTGTCTGCAGCAGTAGGAAAAAAAAAACAAGAATGTTATCATTGGGTGTTGAATTCATGATGGAGTTTGGATCAATCATTATCAGGTTCTAATAAGGCATCAAAACTCAGTAGTAAAATCTTCTATCAAAAAAAACCCAATACTGTTGATTTACAGAAGGAAAGTGAAGAATCTTTTCTTGAGGAGTAGTTGCTTGCACTATTTATGTGTGAAATCATTTGGTGTACCTGCAAAACGTGTCCAAACAGTGCATTTGAAATCTCCCTGTACCTAACAAGGAATGATACTAAGGGGGCTCCTTGACATGGCTTGACTGGAGCTTTTTAGATATCATGGTTTGGATAAGACGGTAAATAATATCAATTCCTGTGTTGATAGTCACAAGTAAGTAGCCCCGAGGTGAAAGCATAGGTGCAGAGAATGGTGGTTGCAAAGTGATTTTTATGATGTGTCATGCAACCTGGTGCAAACTCTAAGCCCTTGTGAAATGCAGCAATATCTCCGTTTCCATTTAGAAGAAAGTGTCAGTTGTGTGAGAATGACCAGCTTGAAAACAGATGCCCTGATATTCAAGAACCAGAAGTCTCTTAAATGCCTTGATTTAGGAGTGATGGGGCACTTCCTGATTTTGAATGATAAGCGTCAATACTAGAGGGAGCATTTCTGTACTGTTGTATTCTCAGTTGGTATCATTGCTCAGTAATGCTTAGTGAAGTGGCTGTTCCAAATCACACTGTCAGACAAGCCCATCCTAAACTCCTCTGTGACCAGGAGAAAGGCTTAAGACTGAATGGAGACAAGCCATGCTCGGCTCCCTAAAATATACTGATGCTAGACTTGCTTTGTAAAGGCTATAGCTGCTGGTATGGATGCTCAGGAATGACCTATTTACACCAGGTTCTGTCTTAACAACTGTACTTTGAATGCATTTTGTTATTTTCTTGTTACTCAGAAGTGGTCCTTAATATATTTAATATTTTTAGTGCCCTACAGATACCAAAGCAACGTTTGGGGTCCACCTTAAAGTAGTAGGAGACTGGACAGGTATGTAGAAAAACAATTCCTTTCCAGAGACAAATACCTTTACTTGAACTGTTATCCCTTTCTGGCTTCAGCACGGTTTTACCTTGATTGTGCTGTATTCTCACTAGAGATCATTCATGCTTGTTTTCCCAAAGTTCTTTTTATGACACTCTTGATGCAACCCTTGCTTTATTCAGACGTACGTTTCTTCAGATAACATTTTCTTCCAACTACTAACAGATCTTCTGATTGTAACACAACAATTTTCGGTGTTCCTCCATTCCTGCCTCTTTTTCTTATTTTTTCGGTAGCCTGCTGCCCCTGTGCAGTGCCTCTGTGCGTAGTAGTGTCTGCAGAAATGCTGAAATGTGCAGCTCCCAGATAAGCGGATTTTGATGCCAGCAGTCTGGATGGCTGCCAGGTTAATTAACGCCTATGGTACACTGAGATTACAGGTTGCTTTCATGTTCTTCCATGCTCTTCCATTGCTCTTTGAATGTCCTCCAGACCAGGGGTGTAAGCCAGAATTCCCCGCAGAGGAGAATGGTAATTTGCTTCTCCCTGTGACAGTTGTATACTCAAGTGATAGTTGTCATTATTCCTTGGCGGCAGACTTTCTTCTTGCTTAGCATAGCATTTCCTTGTAAGGAAGACAAATGCACAGCACCATCTTGTTCTTTTCTTAGGGAGAAATGTTTTCCATGTTAAATTGTGTCGTCTCATGGTTTTGTGGAACTGAGTCAAATGAGCTTGTTGCCCTAAAAGGGATTAGACCAATCTGAGGAGAATACATCCATGAACGTCTGTTGAACTTGTCGGTCGTGCTGCATGTTGTCTGTGGAAGCTGCTAAAACTTTGATAGGCAAAGATTGGGAGGGCAATGCCATATGCACATATGCTCCATAATCACCCTGATTTTTCTCTTCTTGCTTGTGGTATAGGATTTTGGCCAGACAGACCCAGATTATGTGCCTAATTAGCCTTTGATTTGCTCCATTATGATGACTCTTTTGTTGTTAAGCATCATTCCTACCTGGGAGAAGATAGTAGTCTATTAGAAAAAGTGGGGTGTGGAAGTACTGGATAAATGAATTTTCTAACGAAGTGGCATCTTTGAAATGTTCAGATTGCTTCTGTGGCATGAATTGCTCTTTGTTAGCCTTTAAATATTCTCCCAACTCAGTACCTATATTCTCCACTGAGAGGCAGGTCTGCCTAGGTAGGACTGTGTGACATTCAGGACACTGTCACATTACAGAGACCATTTGTTCTATTACTTTTGCTAAACAGGGTTATCTCTCCCGGGGTCAAATGTGCTGTCAAGAAGCAGACAGTTTGCTCAATCCTTTATGCCACATCTGGTGCCATGGAGCCCTGCTCTCATTTGGTCCCTTAAGTTCTGTGACAATTAATGGTCTCTAATCCGCTGACTGTTTGAGGAAGGATTATTATATTCACCACATTCCTTATAATCTTTCTTAAGCGTGCTCTAATGGGTACTTCTGCAGACAGGATATTGGGCTGGAGGAGTTTTTATGTGACGTACTGTCATTTGAGCTCTTCTCATGACCTATTCTCTCAGCCTTTATCCTATTTATCCAAATTCTCTTTTGTAACACATTTTCATATTCCTGAGAGTTTATGACTGACACCGAAGAGAGTTAACAATTTATTTCAGAGAACTCAATTACAAGCCTAAATTAAAAGGATGCAAGCAGAGTGCAGATATGCTGCGAAATGCAGAGAAGAACCAGTTAGTTTGAGACATTTCCCCTCTTGCTGGCTACAGCTTCTGCTGCCTGCACCTAGGAGATGGGGTCGGTGAAGGAACAATTTCCTGCCATTAGCTGTAAGGACTTGAGGAGGGATACACGGTGCTGGCAAACCAATTCTGCAAGTTATGTTTCGGGTCAAGTCTCTGACATTGAGTCTCATGTTTTGAAAATTGAATAGAATACCTCGTGGCCTTAGTGACTTTGGTTTGTAGGTTGGGAAAGCAACTGCATGTCAAGAGAAAACATAAAGGGTAATAGAATTGTCAGCTCCTGATGAGAATTTGCTGTTAATGGAAAGTAATTTCTTGCCCGTATCCCAGTGCATATCATTTTAGATATCCAATAGAAGAAGCCGCAAGAAGCGGCTTCTGAAAAAGGCAGTCAATCTAGAAATAATTTTTTGCATAACTTTTTGTAAATATTTAGTAGATTTTCTGGCAATAACATTGTTTTCTTTTTAAAGCAATGATTTGAATAATGAAAAACATAGGACAGAAAAGGCAGGGAAGAGAGGAAGCAACCTCAGAATGGTAGGTCTGAGACCTTAGCAAACCAAACAGTAATCTGGACCCCTAAGTGATGTATTTCTTGCTCCATTGAAGCCAAATGGTGCTGTCTGAGCTCCGTGGAGCTGAGAACCTGACCTTCTCAGAAGCAGATTTGGATAAAGGCACAACAGTCCCTCCCATTAAGTAGTCAGTGGGACCCATTAGATAGATTTCCAATACAAATCAGAGCTCTTTCATTTCTCATCTGTGTTATGGTGGTAGTAGTAACTTTGTTGTGCTCAGCTTTCATGTTCATCACAGAAAGCAGGGATAAGGAGGCACTGGTATTGCTGTAATGTGCCCTCACATGCCCGTGTAGCAGATACTTTCATCTGAAATACTTTCCATGGCTCCCTTTTTATGTGTCTAGTTTAGGACAAGATGAAGCAAGCCCCAAGCATGCCTTTTTCTCTTCATTCATTGTAAAAAGAGTCTAGATACATACATCGCTACCTCAGAGGTAGGTAGTTTAGTTAATTGACAGTTAGTTGTGATTTTTTCCATGTAGAGGTTCCTGACATGATTTTTCCATCTTTTGCCCTGTGCACTGGGTATTGTGAATAGTGGAACAGCTATTATAGACCTCCCTAACGACTGGGTTTGTGATAATGTTTGATAATGTAGTTACTATCCTTGTTTTGACAAGTGACTACATGAGTCAGCACCTATTATGTTAACAAAATGTTTTGTGTCATTGTGATGGATCATACTATTAATGCAATTATTTTGGCTTATTACAGAGGTGAAACCTATAGAATCATAGAATGGTTGGAGTTGGAAGGGACCTTAAAGGTCCCTTCTAATTCCAAGCCCCCTGCCATGGGCAGGGACACCTCCCACCAGACCAGGTTGCTCAAAGCCCCATCCAGCCTGGCCTTGAACACCTCCAGGGATGGGGCATCCACAGCTTCTCTGGGCAACCTGTTCCAGTGTCTCACTGCAGACCACAGCTCAGTTAGCCTGTGAGGGCTTAGACACCCAAGTTACAACGGGTTTGGAGTGGCTGATCTGTGGTAGTTGCAAACGTGAAGCCCTGCGGGTTGGGTTAGCCCAGTGGCTCAGAGCTAAGTCAGCCTGTATTCCTCTGCGGTGGCCTGGCAGTTACTGCAGCTGAGCCGGCGGGTGGCAACTTCAAGCCCTACAGTAACATTGCAGTCCCTGCAATGGCTCATGCACAGAGCAGAGCTGGGAGATCCATGAATTAGCCAATAAACTAATTTTGTTACTAGCCTCCTCTCTAAACCTGTTTTGTTCTGCTTCTCTCATGTCTCTGTGGTCACCTATTTCTCCTTCAGCTTTGAAAAAATTCTTGTTAGTATTTACAAAAGGGTTTTTTGAAAGTTTTTTTGTCCTACTTACTGTCTAGTTTGTCCTTAGTGTTGTCATCTATCAGCCTTATGCTTCTGCTGTCCTTGCTGCTGCCTCAAGTACTACTGCTTGTTTAGTTTTAAAGCTGACATTTCATCTGGCACCTCCGGAGGGAAAAAGAGAGGCCATGGGCCATGCCTCGTGTCCAACCACTTGACAGCAGTGAAAAAAAAACACACAGCAGTGTATCAAGACAATGTGTCTCGTTCACTAGACAAATTTCAGGGTGCGAGACAGAAAGTGATATTGATGATGCCAAAATAACAGACTTCTGAAGCCATGCGGCATGTTTTGGCGGAAAACAAATACACAGCACTCAGAGGTGTTAAGGTGAACTGCACGCCTCAAGGCAATAAAACATGGCTGTTATGTTGCAGTGTGGTGCTGGTACAAATTGATGTGGGACCCTGTTTAAAACACTGCTGCTGTTCTGCGCCCTACAGTAATTTTTATCTTGTATTGACATCCTCCTGCAGTGTAGTTGTGTGTGGTCCTAGAGACATCCGCAAGGCCTGTCCACCAGTCTGAGCAGCGTGGTATTTACTGTGGGAGTGCCCTAACAGGTGCTTTAATACCACCCATTGAACCTGAGACTTCTGTCCTATAGGTTACCAAATGCCACGGCAGCAGGAGGAGGTGATGCATGTGGGAACCCTCCAGCTAGAGCCAGAGCAGACAGATCATGGGATATTGATATGCTCACCCTAGTAAACTCTAGGTCTTGTGAGAAAATACCTTTCTTTGCTAAATTTTGCAAATTTACTGATTTGCAGTACTTTGCCTGTATCAGGAACAGTGTGGTGAGTAGGGCCTGAGAGGTGATTGTCCCCCTGTACTCGGCACTGGTGAGACCTCACCTCAAGTACTGTGTCCAGTTTTGGGCCCCTTAATGCAAAAAAGACATTGAGGTGCTGGAGCAGGTCCAGAGAAGGGCAACAAAGCTGGTGAGGGGCCTGGAGAGTAAGTCTTATGAGGAGCGGCTCCCCAGCGGCTGAGGGAGCTGGGGTTGTTCAGTCTGAAGAAGAGGAGGCTGAAGGGAGACCTTATCGTGCTCTATAACTACCTGAAGGGGGGGTGTAGAGAAGTGGGGGTTGGTCTCGTCTCCCAAGTCACAGGAGATAGGACAAGGGGAAATGGCCTCAAGTTGCAGCAGGGGAGGTTTAGATTGGATATTAGGAAACATTTATTCACGGAAAGGGTTATCCAGCATTGGAATAGGCTGCCCAGGGAAGTGGCTGAGGCACCATCCCTGGAGGTGTTCAACAGACGGGTTGACGTGGTCCTCAGGAATATGGTTTAGTGATTTTTTTATTGCTTATTTCTTATTTAT